CAATCCAGATAAGACAAAGCCACTATGGGGAACAAATCAATGGACCAAGCATGTTCCTTCTTTTCGAGAGAAGTATGAAGCTTGGATTCAGAAGTTGTTGAAGCTCGGACTGATCGTAATGGAAGCGTGAGTGTCATTACTCCCCTAATTAGATTGAGATATCCTTCCATCTAAAGCTGAATAAATATCTGTATAGAATGGCTGTAGGGTTGGGCATGTCTCATGAGGAATGGCAGGACCTCAGGAGTAAAGTAGTCGACTCATTCTGGGTCATGCGAATCATCGGTAATGCGGTTCATCTCCAATGCTGCAATGATAACTAAAAGGCATTTAGGATATCCCCCTCTTCCACAAGGGTATGATGGGTTCTCATGTGGAGCTCATAAGTGAGTATTCCTAGTTGAATGGAATGTCATTCACTCAATTCGACATGAAGGGACTATGGATGTCTCACGTACGTCCACATAAGCAAAGTGTCTACCCGTTCTGTGCTAATAGTATCATATCTAACCTAGATTCCTATACGCTGATCCGACACCATCTGCTCTCCAAGTATTCTTAGGACCCGATACAGAGGTAGCGAAACATGCTGTAGATGCCTCGTTAGCTTTACCACCGGAACAAGGTCAGTGATCGAGCACAATGTCAAATCACCAGTACTAATCACGTGTGGTCGTTGGCGTCATAACAGGTGATGCCGAAGGTATCTGGATTAATGCGGATCCTATACCCGGTGCAGTGGTGTGTAACATTGGGGAGATGTGGGAGACATGGACCTGTGGATTATACAGGTCCACGCTGCATCGGGTAGTCCACAGGTCATCCAACTATCGCGTTTCGTACGTTCTCGTCTTCGCCACAATTCTGTTATAGTCTATGGAGATCCCTGACCTGATTATCCCCATTCTATAGCGTACCTTTCTTCTTTGAGCCAAACTTTGATGCACTTGTCCAACCATTAGACGCGGCATTGCGTAGGATTAAGGAGGAAAGGTGTGGTAATGGTTCAGCAGAAGACCAAGCCGGGCTGAAGGCGAAGTATCCACCTGTCGTATATGGAGAGTTTCTCAAGGGGAAAGTGGGTGGAAACTTTACGGAGGAGAGCTAAAGCCGAGATAGGTATCAGGTTGGTATTCAACACCTAGGGAAATAGTAGTCGCCTTCAACCGCCGAGATATCTTAACCTACACATTCCACCAGTATGACACTAGTGGCCAGTTTTCTATGTTCATAATTTTTTTGAATTACCATTTGGAAGATATCTGCTGGTGAGAGTTGAACACTTAAAGCACCCGTTGAGCCATGACAAGGAAGTGGTGATCCTATATTCATGTCTATTACAGACAAATAAAATGAATATATAAGATGGCGGGATTATGGAATGAGGAATAGGAACTGCGTGTATCAAGAGATAAAAAAAATGCCATGATGGAAACTGTCCAATAAAGCAAGTGCGAAAATGCTTTACTTAGTCTATAAATATCGCTTAGCAGGATGACAACGTAAAGCAAACGAGGATGATGCTTACAGCGTCCTTGAGATAGGCAATGAGGTCACTGCGGTCCTTGTCCTTCTTCAAGCCAGCAAAGGCCATTTTTGTGCCCGGGATGTACTTTTTGGGATTTTCTGTTGAGGAAAACATGTAGTCAGCACCGTTTCACCGGGGGTGATAGCGCTGGTCGAAAAGCCCGATAGGCGAAATGGTCCGGCGGTAGGCGTACGTACCAAGGTATTCGAACATGGTGTTCTCGTCCCATACGATGCCCTTGTTGATGTTGGCAGCAGAGTACGAATAGTTCTCTGCTTTGCCGGTGTGACGGCCAAAAACGCCGTGCAGGTTGGGGCCGACCTTATGGGGCTCTCCTGCGCCGAGGGTATGACATTGAGCGCATCGAGTCTTGAACAGGGATGCACCCTTGGAAGCGTCACCTGTTGATAGGGCGAGTATTAGTATCTTTAGCCTGATGCAAGCAATTTTGGAGGCAGAGGACGGCGGTCACTAGTGACGTGTTGGCACAGTCGAAAATCTGTGCGAAGGGAATAGAAAAGGAGGCTTGCTTACCTGGAGTATAAGGCATATTTGATGATTGATCTAGTGGTAGAAAGAAAAAGGTGTGGTTGGGATAGAGATTAAGACAGTGGTTGTGGAAGGGGTCTAAGTTTTTTTTGTGAGTGAAGGAAAACAACTGGCCAATCACAGGCAACGAGTTCCGAATTTTCCATGGCGGAACCTCTTTCCGGCATTCCGTCTGACACGGCTTGCTCAAGTCTGCAGAATGACCATCAGTATCATCGTAGATCAAAGCGAGATATCTACCGACAGTCTATCCAATGATACAGAACAGCTACGCTCAGTTGGTCTCGATTCCTTGGCGAGTCTCGACCTAGTTTAGAGGTTGGCTGCACCAGAGAAAAGTTTGAATGAGATGGAATGTATAAACATAACTAGGGGTTTATATGACCTGGAAGGATAGCTCACTTTGTCATTCTTCATACCGGACTTTTCAGCACTACCATTTCACTTCTTCAGTCCTCGTTATCACTGACGAAACCAAGCACATTAAACATCTCAGAACTATGAAAGTGGAATCCGGACTTGCCACAGACTCTACGACTCCCAGAACCAAGCACTTGCGCCTCCAACGATAAACTTGGAAATCAATTCAATTTTCCTCGACCCCCACTGACGACGCATCCTCCAAGTCTACTTCTTCAACCTCCTCAATAAGGTTTGCCATTGATGTACCATTAGGCTGGGTACTCGATGTAGCAACCTTTTTGGTTGCAGAGAGGTCTTCCTCTTCCCCTTCGTCCTCGTCGTCCTCATCCTCGACTTCATCCTTATCATCTTCGTCCTCGTCATCTTCATTCATTGCATCCGAGTCACCCTCTTCCAGACTCTCTTCGTCGTCTTCACCGTCTCCACCTGATGCGCCCAACTGATATTTCGCAATCTCGTCCAACTCCTCCCCTTGAAAGTGCTTCATAAGTCTCGCCATACCAGCTTCATCAATATCATCCGACTCTTCATCTTC